ATCGGTACGGAGACGTCTGTACTTATCTTCGAGAGGCTGCAGAACCTTTAGGAAAATTTCACATTCTTGGATTCTTATCGTGCGTTCGGTGTATTCTAGTAACTAAACATCTGTATTTCATTCTCTCACAGATGGTGAGGACTCGTGCTACCGGTAAAGAGGGTCAGCCACCAGTTCGGGCCGCAAGAGGCCGAGGCTGCGGTAGAGGCTGTGTTAGGGGCAGAGGTGCAGCCCGTACAGCAGCTGGGGCAGTACGTGCAGATCCACCGGTTGTCCCAGATCAGGACCAAGTTCCAGTTGTTGATGTGCCAGCTCAGGCACCACCTGTGCCTATTGTGATTCCAGGTCTTCAGGAGGCCCTAGCTCAGATTCTGACAGCGTGTACCGGCCTTGCTCAAGCGGTCTCTATTTCGACGGTCGCAACCACTTCTTAGGCTGGGGGAGGCACTCAAACTCCCGTCGCTCGCACACCCGAGCATGTTATTCAGGGACTTCAGACACCGAAGGCGCCACCAGCCCATCCGGTTATAGCTGCACAGGATTATGTGGTTCCTGCTATGCCTGAGGATGATCAGCGTAGGTTGGAGAGGTTTGGGAGACTCCAACCACCACCTTTCAGTGGTACAGAGAGAGAGAGGACGCTCAGGATTTCTTGGACAGGTGTCGGAGGATACTCCGTACTGCTGGTATTTTGGAGACTTATGGGGTCTCATTTACTACCTTTCAGTTTTCTGTGGCTGCACTCAGATGGTGGGAGACTTATGAGAGGCGTGGGCCTGTTGGCGTAACACCCCTTACTTGGCAGCAGTTCTCCGTTCTTTTTCTGGAGAAGTTTGTACCTGAGTCCCACAGAGAGGAGCTGCGCAGGCAGTTTGAGCAGCTTCGCCAGGGTGAGATGTCTGTTACACAGTATGAGATGCGGTTCTCCGAGTTAGCTCGTCATGCGGTCTGGTTGGTTCCCACAGGCCGAGAGAGGATCAAGAGGTTTATAGACGGCCTCGGTTTTCAACTTTTATTACTTATGACCAGGGGGAGAGTATCCGGGGTTACCTTTGATGAGGTTGTCGACATTGCTCGACAGATTGAGATGGTTCGAGGTCAGGAGAGGACTGAGAGGGAGGCTAAGAGGCCTCGTGGTCAGGGTGGTTTCAGTGGTGCTCCTCAGGGAGGTTAGTTTCAACAGAGTCAGTCATCATTCAGTGCATTGCCAGCACAGGGTCCTCATTATGCCCTGCCCGCTCAGGTATTATCGGGTAATTCTTTTGGGCATTAGGAGTAATAGTTTCGTCAGAGGTGGGGTTGTTTTGAGTGCAGGGATTTTGGTCACATTGCGAGATATTGCCCTAGGCTGTTGGATGGGACTCCGCAGCGGAGTACTTGGCCAACGGTACCAGCACCAGTTCCTCCACCACCCGCCCAGCCAGCTAGAGGTGGAGTTCAGCCAGCTAGGGGCAAAGCCCAGTCAGCTATGGGTCGCTCGAGAGGGGGAGGCATATCAGGGGGGTGGTCAGGCCTATTTCTATCGCCCTCCCAGCCAGGCCAGACGCTATTGCTTCAGATGTTGTGGTTTCAGGTATATTCTCATATTAGACTCGTTCGAGGACGAACGTATGTTTAAGAGGGGAAGAATGTAATGACCCGGCTGATCGTTTCGAGAGTTATAGCCCCGTTTTTCCTATTTCTACTTCTTTTTGTGTTATTCAGCTATATTATGTTATATCGGGTTGGTTCGGGACCTGAGTGATTTCAGAGTGAATTGAGACACTTAGTCTCTTAAGTAGAAACTTAAATTGGAAAAGTCAACCGGGTGTTGACCTATGTATAAACGATCTCGGTCCGTGGTAGAATTAGGCTTGAATTGGCAAAATTTAAAATTTGGCGATTTCGATCGGCAGTGGAAAATTTGATATCGGGGTCGGAATGGAATTTCAAAAATTGGAGTAGGTTCGTAGTGTAATTTGTGACGTGTGTGCAAAATTTGAGGTCATTCGGACGTGGTCATCCCGTGAGACTGTGAGGCCTAATGGCCATTATCTCTGGTTATGTGTTTATTTGTTGTTGAACTTGTTTGCCTTCATTTTAGAGATCATGCTTAGGCTTTATTCATGCTCACATTATTTGTACTCAGTCATAGAAATTATTGTACCTGTTTACCTCAGTCTCTATTATTTGCTAATATGCGGTGATACTTGATGTGGGCTGTGTTCCCTTATTTGTTGGTGATGATAAGGCTAATGAGGTACATGATTGAGTGAGGCCGAAGGCCTGGTTGTGAGGATATTAATACCATAGCGTGTGAGTTGTCCGCGTAGCACGTGAGTTGACCGTGCGGGTCCAGGTATTGATACCATGACGCGTGAGTTGTCCACGTAGCACATGAGTTGACCGTGCGGATCCAGGTATTGATATGATGGCACATGAGTTGTCCGTGCTTAGCGCTTGAGCTTTGGGAGCCCCTCCAGAGTCTGTACACACCCCCAGTGAGCGCAGAGTGTTGAGTGTTTTGAGTATTGAGTGTTGAGTGCGAGTGATGAGTGATGGAGTGACACTGCTGTGAGGTGGTATTTATTTGTGTTGTTGCTGCATTTATCTGTTAAACCTCTTTGTGGCATTTACTGAGTTATGAAATTTACCTGTTGATTTCTGTTTATTTTTAAAATTGTGAAAATAAATAATTGTACTGTTTTACTTAGCTCGTCACTATTGCTCAGTTCCTTTGTTATTTCTATTACTTGTTGAGGTGGTTGTACTCATGCTACACCCTGCACTTTATGTGCAGATTCAGGTGAGTTACAATGCGGCGATCGTTGAGTTCAGGCCGGATATCTGTGGAGATTGCAAGGTAGCTGCTAGCGTCCGCAGGACCTTTTCACTCATTTTATCATTTCTTCTTTTGGATTGTATTGATAGTTAGACAATTTTATTTCTTAGTTCATAGATTTGGACGCTCATGACTTAGTGACACCCCGATGTTTGGGGCTCGTTTTCGTATTTTTCTATAGTATATTTAGAGTTGATTTAGTTTATGAAAAATTTAAATATTGAAAATATTTTATTAAATTCTTATAATCAGTTTGACAAGGTGGGTTGCTCTGATGGTAAGCGCCCTCCACTTCCAACCAAGAGGTTGTGAGTTCGAGTCACCCCAGGAGCAAGGTGGGAGTTCTTGGAGGGAAGGATGCCGAGGGTCTATTGGAAACAGCCTCTCTACCTCAGGGTAGGGGTAAGGTCTGCGTACGCACTACCCTCCCCAGACCCCACTACTGGGATTATACTGGGTTGTTGTTGTTGTTGTTTCTTATAATCAGTTTAGTAGTAATATTTTGGGGGATAGGCTTGCCTTGTAATACGATAGACGCCATCACGACCATGATTAGATTTTGGGTCGTGACAGCATGCCACAAAGAAATTGACTCAACCATATAAGCAGAAGAAGATGCATTTTTATATCTAGTATAAAAAATATTAAGCACAAATAAATCATGGTTACAATATCCATTGCCCACAAAAATATTATTTTTGGCTAATACGACCTCATCATTCTCGAAGGAAACCTTCACTCCAACTTTTCTAATAATCCCACAGAAACCAAATTAGTTTGTATATTAGGAATATGCAATACATCATTCAATGCTAGAGTTTTACCAGATGTGAGTTTGACAAGAATTTTTTCTTTCCCAAGAATGCGAGTTGTTCTTGAGTCACTAAGATAAATAGTTTCTTCTCCTTCCTCAACTTGGGTGTAAGTTTTTGTCTTCACAAATATGCCTAGTAGCAACGGAGTCTATCACCCAATTTCTCACATTGGCCACATTATTTATTTGGAAAATGACCGCAACAATTATATTATGCGCTTTAGTCAAATTTAATTTTGACTTAGCGAGATTGTCATTTATCCCAACTCTTCTATTACATTGAGGTGCATTTTTCTTGAAGGTTTTAATATTAGCATTGGATATGTAACCATGTCTATTCACATACCTGTATTTTGACATTAGTGTCTGCCAAAGTTGTGGATGCAATAACGTATTTGCAACACCATGGATATCTGGCAGGACAACTGGAACAGTAGCAGCGGAAACAACACCAAAATTGGTTGCACCATTAAAAATTTTCGTAGTGGTATTACTTGCCATAGTTTCTTAGATTGTAGGGAAATGACACCGGAAAATAATGATAATAATACTGTAATAATATTATTTGTAAACAGATACACGAATTAGCTTGAGTCGTGCTAGGCACTGTCCTAAGAAACTATTTCAGCAATGTAAAATATTTTTTCAGTATTAAACAAGCCCATCTCTATTTATTTAGAGGATACAGAAATCAGCAAAATTAAATTTTCAAATCCAATAAAGAAGAAAAAGGAATAAGGCCAACTAAATTGGAAAGAAAGATAAAGGAAAGAAAGAACATAGGCGTACGGGAGAGAAGAAGTAGAAATAGGAATCATTTATGTTGCATCATCATTAGAGAATGAGTGCCTATTTATAGGCTTAAAAATAGTTTTAAATATAGCTTGTCCTTAATTCCCTTTATAAATTGCCACTCCAATGTTTCTGGCATTAGAGGGGCAGAAACACTTGGTTTAAGGCATGACACTCTTGGACTCATTTATTTTGAAAATACTGCCACACTATGGACAGGTATAAGCTCAACAATTGGATAAATCTTGCCAATACAGGTCGAGTACAAGCTCACCAGGAGAAAAGCAAAAGACAAAAAAGAAATCAGTATTCTTAGGATATATGAATAGTGACCATGATCATTATCCTCAAAGTTACAATTATCTATGTCCTAATTTCAATAGTACCAAGGAGCCTAGAGTGAGATAGAGAAATACCCTGATGCTTTGACCAGATTCTTATCAAACCAATGACATTAAGGAAAATAAATCTCAGTCAGCAAAAGACTTGATTGATGGCGGTGCTTCAGGTGGCCATTCTAGCTATTGGTGTTCTCATTCATTTCATTTCAAATTTTACTTAGAGAGACACATATTGTCAATAGCTTCATAATATTTTTGAACACGTCTTCACAACCCAACCAAAAGAGTACATTAATTTGCTTTTTGCGTGTTCTTGTCATGGGAACAACACAGTTAGTGGAAAAAGATAGCATACAAAATGAAAATAAAATTACAACGATTGCACCATCCTATTATATGCTTTTCTATTCGGTCAGCCTACTTCTTTCCGACCACCCCTCTCTATCCCTTTATTCATTTCTTTCTTTTCCCTTGGACCTAGTGTCCACAGAGAGAGGAAGAATGGATAGTCGAGAGGATTACATTGTAGTAGGTTATAATGGTAATGATAAATGAAATATCACATATATGGTGTTCATGTCCTACCTTTGCAAGAGAACAAGAAAAGGAATCCAACAAGCCATCAGCTCCTCCGTAGAAGTGGAAATATGGAAGCACTCTTACATTTAAGCTTTTGCACAAGGACTTGTTCTCGTCAAAATTCATTTTAATGAAAAAATTTCTGTGTGTTGTTGAGCAATCTTGCACAGCTGATCATTGGAGGCATAAAAAAGCAATTCCCTCAGAATGATTCAGACAGTTGAATAACGTGGCATTTTCTAGAGATACATATAATGGTGACAGATAGACAAGTGAAACAAAATTAAAAATTTAAATAAAAATACATTGGTAGAGAGATGTATATAACTGATGTGGGTGGGCTACAAACTTTGAGAACTTGAAGGCAAGTTAATGCCTCTTTACAATCTACTCCAATAGAGCTAACATTGTTCAGGATAAAGCAAACCAAAATAGGAAAATAAAAAGAGCAGTGGCAAAAGAAATTTGTTTCCCTTTAAGTTTGAAGTAATTTTGCGATAAATTTTTCCTTGAATTGCAGAGACCTATTTGCTAAATTACACAAACTTTTAGTCAAATATGATGTTTTAGACGCAGCCACTTCCAGCTGCAGGTTTACCACGCAAAAGTGATGGTCATTCTTGTATAGTTTAACAATGCACGTAACAACAATTTGTGGTCTAAAAAGAAACGGACTATTACTCAGGGAAACACAGAAAAAAGTACATTAGTACCTAATGAGATTACTCAACTTAGGGAATAATGCCCGACATGAGGCACACCATGTGCCATAGAATTTAACAATCACTAATCTATATCCAGCTTGACTTAATGCATCTAAAAACTCTTGAGTTGAATGTATGTCGATCATATTATGCGCACTCTTTTTCCACCATTTTTGCTAATCAGTTTCAGCAGCAGTTGCATAGACCTGATATCCATTAAAACTAAAAAAAATAATATTGTTGTTTGATGCTGGAAGATTAGCAATTAAGAAACCAATTAACAATAGTGAACTAAAATAGATTGTTAAGCGAAACATATGGACCCCTGAAACATTGTCTAAAATTGGATGAATTGCATGTTGCTACAGTACTCATTTCGTGGTGATAACAACAATCTAGTCTTGCAAAGTGTTGAGACAAAAGATGTAACTTGAATACAGGGGTAGTTTAGTCTATTTATGTGTTAGCAGATTAGTGTATTAGTTAGTTAGTTAGTTAGTGATACATGTGATTGGTTAGTGAGGTGATTAGATTAGTTAGTAAAGTCTTGTATATATACAGCTAATGAAAGCAGGGCATTCATTTCTCTCTACCGTTGCACTCATCTTCACGTTCCTCTTCTTTTCTCTCTTCTCCCTCGTTAGTTAGGGTTTCCATCTCTTCTCAAACCTCCATTTCAGCATGGTATCAGAGCTAGAGCTCTGAATCGAAGCTCACAAATCGATCATCTGTCTTCTCATCTACTCTTTAGTCTCAAACAATTGAGATCTCATTTTTCTAATTCGAAGCCCAAAGTACTCAACAATGGCGATTGATGATTTGGAACATGAAAATGCAACTGTCACAGCTGAAAATGCATCACATGCATCCTCCGATGATGAATTTTAAGAAGGTGTTACAGTTGCAGTCACTCACCCTCTATACCTAGTTCTTGGCGACACAAGTGGAATTTCATTGATTTCATTCCAGCTGACTGGAACTGATAATTACTCCTTGTGGTATCGATATGTGCGTATTGCATTACTTGGCTGCAATAAACTGGGTATTGTTGATGGCAGGTGGCCAAAAGATCTATTTCGTGAGAAGTATTGGTAACAATGGGAACGATGCAATGCAATTATGTTGTCATGGCTGATGAACTCAGCTGCACCAGCCTTAATTAGTGGTATTGCTTATGCCACTAGTGCATAGAAGGTGTGGACGGATTTACAAGAGAGGTTTGACAAAGTGAATGATACTCATTGCTACAATTTGCACAAGGAAATTGCTACCCTAAGTCAAGGCACTTCCTCTATCTCTGTCTATTATTCAAGGCTCAAGGACTTTTGGGATGAATTTGAGTCTGTTATACCCACTCGTGACTGTGATTGGGTTAAGACAAAGGAGTTTATTGTGCATCTACGAAAGCAAAAGGTGTACCAGTTTCTAATGGGTTTGAATGACTCTTACTCTCAAGTTTATAGCCAAATACTTATGATGAAGCCACTTTCTTCAGTGAATCAAGCACATGCCATGCTTATGAGTGATGAAAGCCAAAGAGCTGTAGCTGTTTCTGCTAGTATTTTAGGAGCTTCACCTACTGTAAATACACATCCTTATGATTCAACTGCACTATACAGTGCTAAACCTAGTTTCAATCCAAAATTTAGGAAGAATTATAACATTCAGTGTGAGTTTTGCAAAATGAAGGGCCACAGTAAAGAAAATTGCTTCAAAATAATAGGTTATCCATCAGATTATAAATTCAAAAAGAAATGGGGGAGTTGGGGCTTATAATGCAATGGTCGAGCCTGGATACACTATGCCTATGTACTCCAATCATGCGTCAAACCAGGTTTCTCAGCAACCACCAATGCCTCTTTTGCCTGCATATCAAAATCCTCAACAGACCATGACTCAAGGAATTGAGTATTCTCAAGCAATGAATCACACACAAGGTCATTCTGGTCCTCAAGCTCTAGCATGATCCTCTTCTATACAAGTACATGGACCTTACACAGGTTCCTTTCCACAGACTCAAGGAAGTGCTTTTCCTTTCACTAAAGAACAGTATGATCAAATAATACAGATTCTGAACAATTCAACTTCCTCTGCTCAAGAAAATGTGACAGGTACTAGCACTGCTCTCTTAGCATCTACTAGCCCACAAGAATGGATTATTGATACTAGAGCAACTAATCATATGGTGTCAGATGTTAACTTGCTTACTAAGACTTCTGTAGTTGCTCCATCTAAGCCTAATACAGTCTTATTACCTAATGGAGATGTCACTCAAGTAACTCACACTGGTGACAGTAATATTTCAGACAGAAGCACACTTAAAAAAGTCTTCTATGTGCCTCAGTTCAAGTTCAACTTATTATCAGTCTCCAAAGTGACAAAAGATCTTAAATGCTTTGCTTCCTTTTATCCTAATTTCTGTGTCTTTCAGGATCTCTTCAATGGCAGGGTGAGGGAGATTGGTAGAGAAAGAGATGGTCTATACTTTATGCAGAGATATGGTGGCAAGAAGCTCACTGCAGTCTCTTTAGCTGCTGCTGGAATAAAGTCAAGGCAGGGTGACACTACAATTGATGTTGCCTTGTGGCATAAAAGACTAGGTCATGTATCTAGTATTGTTCTTAGAAAACTGTTTGCTGCCAAACTAGCTTGTATCAATGACACTATCAATAAATGTAGTGTATGCCCTTGTGCTAGGCAAACCAGGCTGCCATTTCCTTCTAGCTGTATTAAGACAGTTGCTGCATTTGATCTAATACATCTTGATGTTGGGGGCCCATATAACTGTGCAACTTTTGATGGCAATAAGTATTTTCTGACAGTTGTTGATGACTTTACTAGGATGACTTGGCTATTTTTACTGAAGCTCAAATATGATGTATGTGTGGTGCTTACTCAGCTTATTGTGTTCATTCAAACTCGGTTTAACAAACTTATGAAAGCAGTCGGGTCAGACAATGGCTCTGAGTTTGTCAACTCTAACTGTACCACATTATTTCAGAAGTATGGTATCATTCATCAAAGAATCTGTGCTTATACTCCTCAGCAAAATGAAGTTGCTGAGCGAAAGCACAGGCACATCCTAGAAGTCACACGAGCTTTAAGGTTTCAGGCCAATATTCCTATCAAGTATTGGGGGCATTGTGTGCTTGCAGCAGTGTACCTCATAAATAGGATGCCATCTTCTGTACTTCATGGTCTTTCCCCTTTTGAACTGTTGTATGGTAGGGCACCTAACCTGGGTCACTTAAGAATTCTTGGTTGCTTGTGCTATGCCAAGCAAGTTCATAAAACAGATAAACTTCTGCCCAGGGCTAAGCCAGATGTTCTCATGGGCTTCTCGGATACTTAGAAAGCCTACATTCTACTGGATCTATCTTCTCATTATTTTTTTACCAACATGGATGTATCCTTCAGGGAAGATATATTTCCCTTCAAAGACATCACAACCACATCATCTCTTATTTTCTTGCCTCCTGGCTTGTCCAGTTCTAGTGAAGAACAACCTTTACTCCCTTCTGTTCCTGCTAGGCATGAGTCTATTGACTCTTCTCCCTTGCACCAGTCAGCAGCAGATGTGATGCCCTATATACTTCCTCATTCTACTCAGCACTCCACTGGTCTGAGGAGATCCTTGAGGACAAGGCAGGCTCCCATATGGATGAAAAACTTTGTGTCACAGCCTGGACACAAATCTGTTCCCTATTCCATTGCTAACTATGTGTCCTATGATAGACTTTCTCCCAAATATCAGGCCTATTTGATAGCATTCTCTGCAATCCATGAGCCTACTTCTTTTGAGCAAGCTGCTCAAGATCCTAGGTGGGTTGAAGCTATGCAAGATGAAATTGCTGCACTAGAATCCAATCACACCTGGGATGTGGTGTCCTTACCTGCAGGCAAGGTGCCTATTGGTTGTAAGTGGATCTATAAGGTGAAGTACAAAGCTACAGAAGAGGTGGAGAGGTTCAAAGCCAGGCTGTTGGCCAAAGGGTACAGCCAACAGGAGGGCATTGACTACCAAGAAACATTTAGTCCAGTAGATAAGATGGTTACTGTTAGAACCATCCTAGTTGTGGCTGCCTCTGAACATTGGCACATTCATCAAATGGATGTGGACAATGCTTTTCTTCAAGGAGATCTCTATGATGAGATATACATGACCTTACCACAAGGATTTCAGAGTCAGGGGGAGACAAGACCAGCATGCAAACTCTTGAAATCCTTGTATGGACTTAAATATGCACCGGGAATGCTAAGTTGTCTGAGGCACTTCTGAGGTTTGGCTTCATGCAAAGCCAACATAATCACTCCCTGTAAAGGATCTGGGGAACACATCATAATCATCTTGGTATATGTTGATGACATGCTAATCACTGGGCCTAACCTGACACTAATAGCTGAGATGAAGACCAAGTTGTAACTGATATTCAAAATGAAAGATCTAGGAGATCTTAAATATTTTCTTGGCATTGAGTTTGCTAGGTCACAAAGAGGCATTCTAATGTACCAAAGGAAGTACACTCTAGAGCTGATTTCTGAGCTTGGACTGGGAGCTGCAAAAGCTGCAACAACACCTATTGAAGCCAACATCAAACTGACCACTAAGGAGTATGATGAACATACTAGCAGCTCAGTATCAAAGATTACTGGGGAAACTACTCTACTTAACTGTCACAAGGCCAGACATAGCATATAGTGTTCAGACTCTAAGCCAGTTTATGTAGAAACCGAAAAGATCACATTTGGAAGCTGCTCAAAGGGTGGTTAGATATGTGAAGAACCAACCAGGTCAAGGCATATTGTTGTCTAACAAACAGAGAAACATTATCAGTGCATATTGTGATGCAGACCAGGCAACCTGCCCTATCACTAGGAAATCAGTAACATGCTTCTTCATCAAGTATGGTGATTCCCTGATATCCTGGAAGTCAAAGAAACAAAGCACCATTTCTAGGAGCTCTGCAGAATTTGAGTGCAGAAGCATTGCATCAACTGTAGCTGAATTGGTATGGATACTTGGTCTGTTCAAAGACATTGGTATAGAAGTTGGTATCCCCGTGAACATCTACACTGACAGTAAAGCAGCAATTCAAATAGCCGCCAACCCATTGTTTCACGAACGAACCAAACACATTGAAATAGACCTTCACTTTATAAGGGAGAAGATACAAAATGGTTTGGTACAAACAGAATATGTAGCTACAAAGGAGCAGTTAACAGACATTCTAACCAAAGGTCTACCTCGAGTATTTGTTGTCCAAGCTAGGTGTACTTGATGTCTTTCTACCACCTAGCTTAAGGGGGAGTGTTGAGACAAAAGATGTAACTTGAATACAGGAGTAGTTTAGTCTATTTATGTGTTAGGAGATTAGTGTATTAGTTAGTTAGTTAATGATACATGTGATTGGTTAGTGAGGTGATTAGATTAGTTAGTAAAGTCTTTGTATATCAGCTTATACAAGTAATGAAAGCAGTGCATTCATTTCTATCTACTGTTGCACTCATCTTCATGCTCCTCTTCTTTTCTCTCATCTCCCTAGTTAGTTAGGGTTTCCATCTCTACTCCAACCTCCATTTCAGCACAAAGTAAAACCAGTCCTTTGGATGCAAGTTGACTCTTTTCTCCAAAACTAGAACCAAGACAGCACATTTCTTTAGAGGAATCTAACAATTAAAGTTTTATACCAACAAATTCTCGTATTCGCCCTTTTCTTAGTTGTTTCAAAGACCAGAACAATGGAAATTTATTCAGAACCACGGATAGAAGCATTCAATTAGGCGTAAGACATACTTTTTCTGTAGATAAAACAAGTACTTTGCTTTGGAGCTTCAACAGTGTAGATAATTTGCAGTAAATGTAACTGCACGTCACTGATCAGCAAAATCAAAATTCAACCAAGCAGAAAGAAAGTTTTACAATTAACACTTAAATTTTTACTTGTCAGCACATCAAAGTTCAAAGTGTCCTTCAGTCTTCTAATCCAACTAGTCAATAAAACTAAATTGCTCTCAATTGGGAGTCTTAAACAGAAATAGTGTTTTAAGAAAATACTTTCAGCACTTAATCGCACACACAAAATTCAAAGGCATATTGAAAGTAAAACAGACAGAGTTACCTTAAAAAGAAGCAAACTTTTCGTGGGGGCATAATGAGAAGAGTAGGCAACGTGGAAAAAGGAAACCTTTTGTCCCACGGGTTGAATTTTGTAGCTTTAATGGGCAGATGAGAGTATGTGTAGGTTTAACCGTTGAAGGAAGAGAAAAAGGGGGAAAGGACCAAACTTTATGTGAAAAAACAGAGTTCCCTTGCATACTCCGGCTATTTTCAATTTCACATCAGATGTACGGAGTATTTACACAAGTAATATGAGCATACATTGAGCGGCACCTTTGGCAAGAAAGAAAGACAAGATGTGCAGCAAAATTGGCTCTGCCAATTTGGAAATTCGGTCCGCTGCTGCATCCACATACCAAGAACCATTATAACCTTGAAAGATAGGTAAACTTTTCCCTTTTTTGCTATGTTTAAATATATTTATTCTTATATATTTAGTAACTTTTAAATTTTAATATTTTAATGACATGCTCAAACATATTTAACTTTATTTCCTTCTTACTGACGAAACGAAAGAAATATATAATTATTTCGAATAAAATTGCTCTCTTTTCTTTTTTGAACTGGATGATGGATGGCCCGTGCAATATGCAAGTGTGTGTTTTTATCTCTTACTATTAGCAAGAAACTAGTAATCGTACCCGTACGATACGCTGTCAATATTAAAAAATATTAATTAAATTGTAATGGGGCTTGTTTGAACAAATTAGATCATATTGCTTTAATAAATTTCAATTGTCATCTTATTTGTCAATGTGATATATGGTATACCCAATAATAAAATTGCTATTAAATTAAAGGGACTTATATAGTCATTGAATAACTTTTTTGTTATATATTTTTCTTTATTCTATTATCCAATATTTAGTATTTTTACATTGTTAATAGAAAATTTTATTAGCATATTACTTTGTTTAATATTTTTATCTGCACGCTTTCTTTTTGTAATATAAGAGAAGATATATTTATTTTATTAATCTTGAAATATTTTTAAAAATAAAAAAGCCTAGCAACTTTTTTCTATGGATATAAGGCTTTAATTGATAGAGATAGAGGAAGCACCGTAAAGAACAATTAGCAAGGTTTTGGGCCGATACAATAATAATTTCATACTTATGTCATGATGGAAGAAATACTTATCTCATGATGTGAGAAATACTTATATATGTATTGGTATTTTATTTTATATTTTTATTTTTTATAGATAATTATAAGATACTTATATTTATTAATTCAAGTAGTGTAACCAATTAATTCAAAATTAAAAATTCAAAAACAAAAAATTAGTTAGAAGGTAGTTTATTTTGTCTTAACATTGCCACTTGGCCTTTTATGGTTATACCACTTGGGTTAATATAGTGCTTTTGCTTCTCCTATTCTCTCTCTCTCTATATATATATATTTGTTCCTTGGTTATCTAATTGTATTATTCATTATTTAACATTATTAAATTGACATATAAATTTTTAATAAATTACCATATAGTATAATAACTACTCCCAATTTTGAATTGAAAGTTTTTTATTTCTTTACTTTCATTTTTTATTTTAAAATAATTTTAAAACTCCAACTTAAAACTACTCCCCAATTTGAATTGGCAAATTTTTATTTTTTTAAATTTCGTGTTTTATTTTAAAATAATTTTTAAACTCCAACTTTGTTGGAACTTTATTTTATAAATCTACACTTGTTGTCTTATGGTTATGCCACTTGGCATCGTAGAATTATTTACTTCTCTTTATATATATATATGAATTGTTATTTTATTTTATATTTTCGTTTTTTATAGATAATTATAAGATATCTATATTTATTAATTCAAGTAGTGTTACCAATTAATTCAAAATTTAAAATTCAAAAAAAAAAATTAGTTAGAAGGTAGTTTATTTTGTCTTAACATTGCCATTTGGCCTTTTGTGGTTATGCCACTTGTCTTAATATAGTGCTTTTGCTTCTCCTATTTTATATAGGTAGATTACATTTGATGGACTTTTTCTAAACCATCATTTATATTTTGATCTCGTTTAACGAAATATTTCGTGAAAATAGGCTCGTGCCAGAATTTGAAGCACCAAAAATTCTGACGATCACCAATTTTTTCGACCATAATATTGAAATTCTGATGCTCCAAAAAAATTTATGACAAAAATTATGTCAAATATTTTTCTAAATATCCTAAATTATTATTTTGAATTTGACTTCACATTAAAAGAAAAATATTTTACTACACGAGAATATTTCAAGTCATTCTGAATTGTACACTTCTTCCTGAGTTATCAACTCTCCAATATATATAATTACCCTAATACATAATTGTTGAATCAAAAGTCAAATATTTAACAGGTCAAGATCAAAAAATGAACCATACGGAGTACAAAGAATATTTGAAAGAATTATAAGAATAAGAGAATTTAGGCTTAGGTTATTCACATTTTATATGGTGTAAATTTGAACTTTAGAGCGTAAAAGATTAAGAAGATCCATCTGCATAGATAGTTGGATAATCTTATTAAAAAAAATACAAAGTTATCAAGAGTATCTACTAACCATCTATGCTCCAATTAAAACCAATTAAAAGTTTAAAATTATAAGATTGTAAAGCTATGATGCATTTGCTATTATCCTTGAAATATACTCCAAGTTGCAAAAAATTTGGTCTAAAAGCACTACAAATTTCGCATAATATCCAAGCATCTACACTTCAATAATATTAATCAAGTAACTAACCATGCAAGTTCTCACCTCATTTCTCAGGTTGGTCATGTAGTTTTGTAGGATAAAATTTTATTTCTTCATAATTTCTTTATCTTTACTTGCAATCATTTACCATATTAGATAATCTAACTAAAAGTTATTCTTTAGAGCATATTTAGGAGTTTGTGTTGTATTTTTAATTAATGGACCCATCAAAAGTAAATTTGGTTTTAAATTGAACACTAACGCATACAGTTTAACCTTTTTTTATTTCCTTTTTAAATTTTTATAACTCCAGTTTTCCTTAAAAATGCTACGTAAATTTGTATAAGTTTTGTTACATATATAATTTGAATTTAATTTGGGTTTAAATAAATTAACTTGTAAAACTGTAATATTGAGGATTTAATCTGATGCAGTATGTTATCCTTACAATTATGCATATATATAAGTTATACCTAATCAAACTTAAAAATACATAAATAAAAAAATGTTTTGGCAAAAACATTTGCTCACAAAAGAAATATGTCATATTTCAATTTTTTCTGTGATATCTATGGCTATTAACAAATATAAACCATCTTACAAAAGCGTGGCAATCACATACTCTAACACAAAGGAAGAACATTGATGTGCTGGTGTGTCAAAATAGATCAATGGGGCCTAGAAATTGGAAAACGTATTTTCACAATGTAAGAGTATTCCCTATTGGAGGGGTACCATAATTACAGCACGAAAGTACCTATTAAGCATAGCATGTTAAAGAAAAAATTCCAATTTTACCCCTGTTCAGCAAGCGTAGAATTTGTGCACGATTTTAATTGGTATCAGTGTAATTTTTTTTTTTTTTTTTGCATTATCTGGCTATATTTATGTCTATTATTAGAACACATGAAATATTGATCATTCTTTATTTATTTTTTCGTAAGTGCATTCCATAGTAGATGAAATTGTAATTGCAACTTTTTAAAATATAACTATTACTCCCACTTATTCAATTTTATGTGTCTTACTTTCTTTTTCAGTCTATTTAAAAAAAAAGTCTTTTTTATATTTAGTAACTCTTTAACTTCACTATCACACATGATATATTTAAGAACACAAGATTCAAAGATATTTTGATATATTACACACATCTTTAGTTTAAAGGATCCGTTTGTCCATAATTATTTTTCCTTTTTTTTTGAATTTTTTTTTTTCAAAAACGTATTTGTCTATGAAATTTTGCAAGTTTTTGAAAAAAAATTCGTAAATAAGTTTTTCAAAAACCAAAAAGTTATTTTGACCACTTTTTCAAAAATTTCAGAAAAACTTTTCCCACTCACAAAGCGACAATATTTTTTCAGGTGAAATACCTCTTCAAACATAATTTCAAATTTCAAATACCATTTTTCAACTTAACTCCAAATATTATTTTTTTCAAAACTTACAATTTTTAAGACTACAATATTCAAAAGATATTTTTACTTTTCTTAAACACACGCAGTCAAATTAAGACATAAATAAAATGAAACGAAGGAAGTAGCTTTTACTTATTGTTTGAACCTTTTGAATTTTTTTAAAGAATTCCATTATTTCCTTTTGTAGTAATGTTAAGAATCCAATAGCATTTCCATTAACAAAGAAAGTCTATCAAGTAATTCCTTGTATGGTGATATAATGATTAATGAAAACAATAAATTTCTTTTTATTATTTCTTTTATTTTCATTATTTAACCTTTTTAAAATTAATCGAAGAATTTTTACATCCTTTCCTACACATTCTTTTCCTTTTGGAATTTGGTTTGTACATTCCGTTGGTAAGTTTGGTTTAGGAGAAGAGAATGACATACAGTCTTATAAATATTATCATTATTCAGTGTCAGGCTTAGGGTTTTGGGAATCGATGGAAGGGAGAAGTGACGTGGACGCAGCAGCGGACCGAATTTCCAAATTGCCAGAGCCAATTTTGCAGCATATCTTGTCTTTCCTTCTTGCTAAAGATGCCGCTCAAATGAGTACATTGTCCAAGGTTTGGGATAGTGCTTGGAATTCACTCTCCTCTAATTTTGGTGATAAATTCCTCAAGTCAAAAGACATGCCAAAGCTCGTCAATGTTGTGAATCAAACCCTAGCAAATCGGCAAAAGCACAAGATTTCCATGCAAAAATTCTCTCTAGGATTACCACATCATCGTTGGCTTTCTTATGTCGATGATTGGATTAAGATACTCATAGCTTGTAATATCAAAGAGTTGAATCTAAGAGTAAGCAGACCTATTTATGAAGGCAAACTCGAATACAACAGCTTGCCCGAGGCAATCTTTGCTGCCAAAGCACTAAATGTGCTGCGTTTGGATGGATTTAAGATTGAATTGCCTTCTAATGGTATAAAGTTTTCATCTTTGCGAGAGTTGCGCCTCTCTGACGTATTTTTGAACGAGGAATTTATTCAGGCTCTGTGCACAAGCTGCTGCAATTTAGAGGATTTGTATTTGCAGAACTTTGATGGACTTGCCAGTTTTCAAGTTGGGTGATACTTCTTTACCTAAACTGAAAAAGGTAAACTTGGAATTTTGCCCTTTTGTATTTCAATTGGTTGATATTGCAGCAATTAATCTTGAAGATCATAAGATCTACAGCCTTTATGGGAATCTAAAGGTAGTTAAAATAACTGCTTGCAAAGCCCTCAAGACGTTGTACCTCAATTGCGTTGCTGTCACTGATGAATGGTTAGAGAGCCTTTTTTCCAGTCTACCTATCTTTGAAATCTTTAAATTATTCGGTTGTGAGACATTGAAAAACATGAAGATCACGAGTGATAGGCTCAAATGGCTGATGGCCTCACGGTGTGATAATCTGATTGCTGTTGAATTGGACACTCCTAATTTAATAAAGTTCCAATACAATTGTCATCCACTGTCAACATTCAAATTGAAAGCTTCAATTTTGCTGGAAGCCAGTTTCTGCTTAACCCCGGAAGCTGACGACAATCATTGGCACTCTAAGCTCACGAAATTTCTTGCTAACTTCAATCATTCCAAGGTTATTGAATTGTCGTGCCACTGCGACAGGGTAATGTGTCCCAGAAATTATCTAGCTAGCTACACTGCTTGAAGAAGCAGTTTATTGTGTGTTTCTTATAAATTGTTTTTTTTCTGGATGCAGGTAATAGTTATACCAAAAGACCTGAGAGAAAACTTCCTTCCTCCCCTATATGGTACTAATATTTTGCAAGTAAACCTTCAGAATCAATCGAACTATTCAGTTGTCGACGTTATTGATAGCATGCTTTGGATTTCTCCTCACCTGGGCACCCTATCTTTTATTACCCGAGCTCCCGGCTTAAAGACCCTCAAGGTAACAGTTCATCCTTTAAAGGCACCGAGTTAATAAAAGATTGAAAATAGTTAGTTGTTACTCCAATAAGATTTTCTTGCACCTTTATTATTATGTAGTTTTTTGCCTTTTGATTCTTTGTTTAGTGACAACGCCCCTCGTAATTGGTTCTGCTACCAACCAATGCAGAACTGTAACTTCTTGCAAAGTCATTTTAATCCCTGTATAAGAATGGGTGAGGTTCAAAACTGTTATTAGACCATTAAAAGTTGATCTTGTAAATATTTTTTGCCCCAAACTATGTATTTGGAAACATTATCGATTGGTTATAGGTTTTTGGTTCTCTTGCTTATCTGTGATTATTAAGACAGAATGGTGGCATTGGATAAAGCAACAGTTATATGCAGTCAGTCAACTTCAACAGGAAGTCTAAAACCAAGGAATTCAGGCCTTAAAGATTCTATATACTTGACATTTGCTCCTCTTGCCTTCTCAAACTGAACATTGTTTTGATCTTACCGGATTGGATGAAGCTTCCCCTTTCGCCGTGACTGTTTCCTCCTTTTCTCCGCCCTTAGGGCCGGGGTGGTTTAATCTGGCTCCAGCCGTGCATGCACAAATTGCAACAGAACTCTATTTTGCTATTTGACTGGTCGACTTGCTTATAGTTCTAAGAAAAAAGAAATTGCAGCAAAACTCCATTATTACTTTGTTCATTTTATTCTTTGCCATTAGAAAGCACCCCATTCATTGTACTCATTGAGATAATTCCTTCGTTCACATAATGCTTAAGATTAATGCGAGCAGCTCATAGGCTAACACCAATGGAGTTTTAAGCCTTTCTAGTACTACTTTCATGATTGATTCTTTATGAAGTTAGTTTTTTACCTTTGTTCTTGTTGTTCATAGTCAATACTTACTGATTTTCTTTGACAGTTTATATATGAAGATGCATCGGATGATGATGAGAAGCCTTGTTGTGCATCTCTACCATGGAAATGTTGGAGGCATGTGTTAAAGAAAGTCAAATTGCAAAACTTTACATGTATGGAGCAACAAGAGTTGAGAAACTACTTTTTCGCAAATGCAGATATCTCGGAGATGGTTGTGATTCCCCTAGACTGCAGCCTTTGAGTCAAATATTTCTTCACTTATTGTATTTTAAATAAAAGTTTTCATGATTTCTTCGGTGATGTTGTGTTTAATCTTTAATCTTTTACAATAGGGATGTTTTGAATAAATTTGTTCATGTCGGTTCGGTCCGGATGATGTACTAGCGAGCAGGTTGTGTACTTTATGAAGATGTGCAAATTGTTAGAGCCCAATCTAGTGGTCCATCCAAATAAAAGGCACAATAGACAACTGTATAGGATCCGGGCCCAATTACACATTCAATTTATATTTTACATTTTATTGATATAAATATAAATACACAATAATGAAATAAAGCAGTACACACGATTATTTTCCCTTTGATATTTTCTCTGTTTCTCTCTTCTTCTTCTCGACCCTTCTAGGGTTTTCTCATTATTTCATCTTCCAAAGCTCGTCTGAGCTTCTCCACCACAACCTTTTGTGAACTTTTCTCCTACATCTGCCTTTTCCTCTCCACCTTCTACCAGGATTTCCACTTCTCCTCCTTACAATTATTCCACACCTTCACCCAGTCCTCACTTACCTATTGTACTTGTTCAGCCTCACCACCTTCTACCAGGATTTCCACTTCTCCTCCTTACAATTATTCCACACCTTCACCCAGTCCTCACTTACCTATTGTACTTGTTCAGCCTCACCACCTTCTACCAGGATTTCCACTTCTCCTCCTTACAATTATTCCACACCTTCACCCAGTCCTCACTTACCTATTGTACTTGTTCAGCCTCACCACCTTCTACCAGGATTTCCACTTCTCCTCCTTACAATTATTCCACACCTTCACCCAGTCCTCACTTACCTATTGTACTTGTTCAGGAAATCCACTAGAGTTGCTACTTATCCCTCTTATCTCAAAGATTACAGTTGTACCTCTGTCTTACCTCATGTTCCTGTCATTTACCTTTCTAAGGTGTCCCAAACTGAGTTGCATATGCAAGAGCCTCAGTTATACCAGCAGGCAGCTTCACATCCTACTTGGCAGGAGGCCATGCTAAAGTAATTTCAAGCTCTTGAGTCCAACCAGACTTGGGACATTATTCCACTCCCTGCACACAAGAAAGTTATTTCTTGTAAGTGGGTTTACAAGATTAAACAGAGGGCAGATGGTTCCATTGAGAGGTATAAGGTAAAGTTGGTCATCATGGGTGACACTCTAAAAGGGGGTATTGATTTCATTGAAACTTTTTTCCCAGTTGTTAAATTGACTGCCATCAAGTGTCTCCTTACCTTGGTTATTAAAAGAGGCTGAACTGTTTATCAGTTGGATGTCAATAATGTATTTTTACATGGTGACCTTCATGAAGAGGTTTATGTGAAGATTCTTCCTGGTCTGGATATCTCTTCTACTTCTGCCTCCACTCCTTTGGCTTGTAGACTCAAGAAATCTTTATATGACCTCCGCCAGGCTTCCATACAGTGGTTTTCTAAACTGTCTGAAGCACTACATTCTAGGGGCTATATTTCTAGTCTCAATGACTATTCTTTGTTCACCAAATCTTCATCTGGTTCTCTTGTTGTGCTAGATGCCTATGTTGATGATATATTGCTAGATGGGGATGATGTTACTGAGTTAGACTCCTTGAAATTATTTCTGGACAATCAATTTAAAATCAAGGACTTGGGCACAGTTCATTACTTTCTTTGATTGGAGATCTCCTCTCATCCTCAGGGCTATCTTATGACCCAGTCCAAGTACACTACTTATCTCCTAGCTGAGTTCAACTGCCAGAATTGTTCTCCTGTTTTCACACCTTTGGATCCTTCTATCAAATTTCATTTGGATATGGAGCACCTGTCTCTGATCCTAGCTTGTATAGAAGGTTGATTGGTAAGTTGAATTTTTTATAACACACAAGGCCTAACATCTCTTTCTCTGTTCAACATCTAAGTCAATTTCTGTAACATCCTCAGGTTCCACACACGTTAGTTGCACTTCATGTTTTAAGGTATCTCATGAATGACCCTACTCACGACATCTTGCTTTCCAATTCTCCTGACATGTCCCTTATGGGCTTCCCTGATTCTGATTGGGGTTCTTGCACTATCTCTCGAAAGTCTTTCAGTGGTTATTATATCGCTCTTGGTGGAAGTCCTGTTTCTTGGAAGAGCAAGAAATAACGTATCATATCCTTGTCTTCGGCACAAGCCGCATATAGAGCTTTGCACAAAGCTGCTGCTGAAATAGCTTGGCTGATCAGACTACTTGGTGACCTTGGCTTACCTATCTCCACTCATGTTCCTGTGTATTGTGATAGTGAGGCTGCTCTACATATCGCCAAGAATCTTGTCTTCCACGAGAGAACTAAGCATATTAAGATTGATTGCCATTATGTGCGTGAATATCTTCATGTTGGACTTCTTTCTTTACACTTTATTTTTAGTGCAAATCAGTTGGCTGATATTATGACCAAGGCCTTGTCTACTCAGCTTTATTATGATATTCTTAGCAAGCTTGGTGTTTCTTCACCCTCAAGCTTGAGGGGGGTGTTAGAGCCAAATCTGGTGGTCCATCCAAATAAAAGGCCCAATGGACAACTGTATAGGATCTGGGCCCAATTACACAATTACACATTCATTTTACGTTTTACATTTTATCGATGTAAATATAAATACACAATAATGAAATAAAGCAGCACACACGATTATTTTCCCTTTGATATTTTCTCTGTTTCTCTCTCTTCTTCTTCTCGACCCTTCTAGGGTTTTCTCATTATTTCATCTTCCAAAGCTCGTATGAGCTTCATCCTAACACAAATCGCAATAAGTTCTTTAATTGTGTTAGGTACGAAGGAAAATATTTTCCAATTTTGTCATGTTTGGTTGACTTAAATCTTTTGGAAAACATTTTCCTCATTAACTCATTGTCCTCCAACCAGAGAAAAATATTTTCCCAAAAAGGGAAAACATTTTCCACAACTCTCTTTCAACCTTCCCCACTCCATCCCCACCAACTCACACCCCCACTTACCTACCCACCCACCTCACCCTCACCCTCACCCCACCTCTTTAAATAGAAATATTATTAATAATACTTTTTTTTATGTTATAGATATGGTATTTTTTTTCATTTCAACAAATGAGTATTTTCTTTTCATGATATAAAAAAGTATTTAATTTTTATTTTTTCAACAAAAAAAAAGTACTTTCTTTTCATGATGTAAAAAAATATTTTCTTTTATTTCAACAATATGATGTAGCAAAAAATATTTTCTTTCATTTCAACAAAGAGAGTATTTTCTTTTTATGATGTAGAAAAAGTATTTTCTTTCATTTCAACAAAATAAATATTTTCTGTTCATGAGGTAGAAAAAGTAATTTTTTTCATTTTAACAAAATGAGTACTTTATTTTTATGTTATAGAAAAAATACTTTTTTTTTCAACCAAAAAAAGAGTATTTTCTTTTTAGGAATGAAGCACAAATTTTAATATTGTTTTTGCGTATAAAAATTAGTTTCTTTACGTTTGTATGAATTTTTAGAAGAATAATTAAATTCTTGAAAAAAAAAGTGTCCTGAAAACGTTGAGTATTTGGAGGGGGAGGAAGCACAGGAAACATTGGGACTTGAGGGAAGAGGGTGAGGAGAGAAGCATTAAAAAAAAAATTCTAAAAAATATTTTTTACTTTTTAACCAAACACTAGAAAATATTTTAAAGAAAAGATTTTCACTCACCAACCAAACAAAAAAAAATGATAAAATAACTCATTTTTCATGAAAACATTTTCCTTCGTGCCTAACACACTCTATGTTTCAAACGTATTTATCCAATAGGCAAGAGCATTCTCGAATGGAAGTTAGAATTGAGAAATAACACAGGGAGTTTTAGTGGAACATGGCATAAGTGGGCGTTTAAAAATTGGAAAATTCCGGAAAAAGTGAAAAGAAAATCAGGTGGAAATGTTATTTGAAAATTAGAGTTGTGTTTGGACATAAAAATAATTTTGGGTTATTTTTTACTTTTGTGAGTGATCTGAAGTGAAAATTTTAAAAAATAGCTTTTTGAAGTTTTTCAAATTTTCAAAAAATTCTAAAATTCATTTTCAAGTGAAAATTGAAAATTTTATGGTCAAACAATGATTTCAAAAAAAAATGAAATTTTTTTGGGAAAAAGTGAAATATTTTTATGGCCAAACGGGCCCTAAGTCTTATATAATTGAACATCATCTGTGTCTGTGTGATAAAAAAATTGGTGTTGATTTTATAGCTAGTGTATAACGACGACTAATTGCAGCATAAAGAAGAAATAATCATTCAAGATGGCCTTGCCAAGTAGCAAAAGGGGAGAATGAATAACTTAGTGCAGAAGTGAACCTCGCTTATTTCTGCTCTCCACGCTCTTCTTCCTCCTCCTTTTTCTCCTCCCTTAATATGTTATTTTACAGCAGAAAGCGACATTATATATAGATAGTAGATAAAATCAAACATAAGACTATAATCAAATAATCTTGCAAGGTTTAGGCCACAAAATCAGTTAGCCTTAGAATCTGTGAGTTCCTTTGTTACAGAAACAGCGGAAGATAATGGCAAGGCCAGGACGGAAAATTTGCTCCTTAGGTGGTTTGGTCATGTGAGTAAGAAAGAGCAAAGACGCCCCGATGAGAAGGTATGAGAGACATTGGAAGGCCTACGGAGAGGTAAAGGTAAGCCAAAAAAGAGGTGGGGAGAGGTGATTAGGCAAGACATGGCACAGGTTCAACTGACCGAGGACATGACCTTTGATAGGAAGGTATGAAGTTCGAGGATTAGGGGAGTAGAGTAGGTATTCTAGAGTGTTCTTAACAGTAGTATCGGTACGCAGTCTCGCTTTCTGTTGGTAGCAGGTCTTTATTGACTAACCGTTGTTTTCTTTCATTGTGATCACCTTTTTATCTTGTTGTCTTTATTCTGCTTTTTATATGGCTTTTGGGCTGTTCCTTCTTGTCTATATTTTCATTAATGTGGTGCTTATGCTTTCCTAAGCCGAGGGTTATTGGAAACATACTCTCTATCCTCACAAGGTAGGGGTAAGCTAAGTGTACACACTAACCTCCCCACAGTGTGAGATAATACTTGGTATGTCGTGTTACTCCCGGTCAATATTGCTGTATTTGTAAATATTAATTCTGCA